AACATGCAAAAATGAAGTGCAGGTGGAGATGTCAGCTTGTGGTCTTCGCACCAAATGATGTAACATGATAGATTTTGCCAGCACCTACTGGGTCTTACTAGTTTCTAACTGGAGAAAACGAAGTATGTTGTCATCTGTGGGCACCATAGGCTTATCATACAATTTCATAGAGCTCAGGTCAAAGGAAAAATAAATTTTTAATTTTGTGACATAATGCGCAGATATTTCAGCAGCAAATTTCGAAATGAAACTTCAACCTTGATTTTCCTTCGCTAATAATAAACTTATGATGCTGAAATTTGTAAAATTACAGTCAAGCAATTTAAACCAAGTCACTGTTTAACTTTAGTGTCCCTTTAAACATACAACAGCTTGCAAAACAGTTACTGCTCAGGCATGAGCAAGTATGTTTTCCACAAATTTTTTTTTTCCTCTGACCACGAATCCTTGCCTTTACTTCCTTTTGCTGCTTCCTTTCTTTCTGCATACAAAGAAACTTACAATGACATATGACAATCCTGCAGTGTTTTTAAAAACCTTTCTGCTGCTCCTGCACATTTGCTAGAAGGTGGAGGGGTAACCATGCTTCGAGCGAGGAAAGCTATACGACAACAAACAACAGGTTTTGTAGGACGACATTTTTCGCTAGGAGGGCACTCAATATTTTGCTAAGTGTCAACGTTACTAATTAGATTTTAGAGACATATATATGCCTTTAAATTTATTTCGGGTATCCATGATAATATTGCAGGTAATGGAAACGGGGTACCTAGTACAGTCGCATCCGCTTATAACGAACTTGAATGTAATGTAGCATCCGTTCTCTGTATCCTGAAGTTTGTAGGACATTTAATAAAACACAGTTCATAAAAATTTGCAAGTGAGAACACATAACTTTTTTTTTTGCAAGAAAGTCTGGAATGTATGTGTTTTGAAGAGCAGACATAATTAGGGTGGTCTCGAGTTTAATTAAAGTAGCTGCATGGTCTTCGCTGAGGCCCTTGGCATATACAAGCTGCCTGAAGTTATTATGTAGCCAATTGCTACAGGCACGCTTGTGGGCACTGGATCCGAACTTTCGTTATCGTCATCATCCGATTCCTCCGAATCACTCTTGCCGCGCAATTTTTATTCACAATGCCTTCATCCGTATACAGTTTTGCAGTGTCGGTATCATCAGCAGCCGCAATGAAATGATCCCAGCAAATGTCCCACCCTCTCATGTCGAAGTTGACGACCCACTGCTGCAAATTGCCGCTGAAGTGGTCTTGTTCAGAAGCTTCAGGCTTGGCATCGAGTCGGACGTCGGCCTCGCAAAAAGCACGCAGATTATTCCCAAGCCAAGCGGTTGCACTCCCCAAGTTGTGTTGAGCGGCGAAAAAAGCACGAAAGGCCTTCCGTTAACCACCCTGACCACACACGCAAACCAAAAGCGAGCAAGATGCGCACGTGCCATATACAAGCCAGGACGCATAGAACAGCTCTGGGCCAGTTTTTAACCAGAGCCAGCATGGCCGGCGTCACGGAGCAGTGGAGACGGACAAAGAAGCTGAAATAGAGGCATATGGCTGGAAGAGACCTTGAAAACCTAAATACAAGGAAAGAAGGCAGGTGAGGTAGCTTGCTTGAATGGTTCATAAAAAGCTCAACTGATGCGTCGGAAAACTTCGGAGAGTGGCCTGTGTGCGCATAGGTCAAAGAATCGCATTGTGGCACCAGCGCGCTTGGCACAACCCCACCAATTTCGATAATTCGCGATTCGTTCCATGCAACAACTGTTTTTACGCTTCCGCATATATGTGGAGGGCGTGCCGAGCGGAGTGCGAAGCGAGCGAGAAGAGTCCCTAAACACGGAATGAATTGTGAATTAACAACATCGGTGGGGTAGGGCAAGCGTATGCACTGGAACGATAGGACACTGATCCAGACAAGACACAGACAATCAGGTACAGTCGGCAGCCAACGATGTTGCCAGATGGTCTGGTCAACTCTAGCCTGGTGACCACAACAATAATGTAACAAGACCAGCTATCAAAAACTGAGGGGAGACTAATGAGCCAGCCGATCTTTGAAAGATTGATGACAGCGTGAAAACACGGGCCTCGTCTGGCGATGCAGGGTGCTCAGAGTAGCCGATGCTTATTATAGGTCAAAAGTGGTGTCCCAAGAAGTCACCAGAGCATGTTGTCAGGGCGATTTTGTGCCACTGAAATAATTTATATTTCCAGGGTCATGCGAATATCCTTCGTTTTAAGCGAAAGTTTGCTTCAAGTGGGGCCGTTACAGGCGGGCTTGACTGTATACATTCAAAAAAAGATTTGAAGAACTAGATATACAGGCATTTCCGTAAACCTTGTTAAAAAAAACATGCTAACAACTATGTAATGTACTGCGAAAGCACCCAACCTTTTTTGCTGATAACTACGTTAATCTAGATATGGATGCCTGTCCTGTTGAAGCAGCAAAAACCAAGGTGGTTGCCAATGACATGCTTCGAGGCACCGAATTGAGGAAAGCATATCTATAATTAAATTGTAAAAAAATGGCGCACACTAACACCTACTCATTATCACTGAACCCAGCAAACGACTCTTCTATTTCGGTGGTAAATAGGAGCCTAGAAGGTGAACGCTGAGGATGGATATAGGAGAAAATAAGAGGTGAACGATGAGAATCAGCGGCATTTGCCGCTATCCTCACCGCTGAACATTGTCAATGTTTGGACCCAAACTGCAGCTGAACAACATCCGTGCACTTTGGCATTATCTGCATTAACATTTTCTCCAACCCCATGGGACCATAACAAATTATCTAATATTCCCGTTATTGCCACTAATATTCTTGTAACAGTTGCCACGGGGGTGGACATTTAAGCTGATGCTGCACTTTCGAGTTTGAGGGGTGGGTGCTCAAGATATAACTTTCAGATTTCTGAAATTTTGGAAACGTTAATAGTGGGTGCTTGTGCAAAACTGGGTGCTTCTACAGTACTTCACCGTTGGCATTGAGGACACCATTTTGCCAATGTGCTGCTTTAACAGCTGCAACAAGAGTTCCTGAAGTTTTCTATTTGCGCATACCTATACCAAAATGAGATTTGCAAATGCAAATTTTGCCACATATTAAAACTATGGTGACCTTTTTATTCCCCATAGCCACAGGCTGCACAATGTCTTGTGCTTAATGCTTCACATTTGCATTTTATTTATTTTTTCTTTCTATCTTCCAGAAGAACTCTCGCAGAGGTGCAATGTGCTTTTGACAAAATTGGTGCTGTCATTACTAGTGGCATACCTCTCAACCTGGCAATAGAAAAATTCCTAAAACCCCCGAGCAGAGAAGGGAAGCAAGGGGGAGAGGTTACCGATTTTTTATTAATTTTAGATGTGATCAATTTGCCTTTTGCGACCAGCATAATCATGTTTTGCCGCCATAAGTCATATCGACGCGCTGAATTATTTTCACCCATTTCTGCCACTAAAAGGAAAAAAAATCGCTAAAAACGGGTGGGGAGTCCCAAACGTAAGCGCAAACATTGTTGTTGCGGTCTCGTAATGGCTTACAGTAACCGAACACACAAGGGTAGCGTTTCCCACTAGGGTAGGGTTTCCCACTAGGGTAGGGTTTCCCACTAAGGCAAGGGTCTCTCAAGGGGGGAGCGCAAATGGTTCCGAAATTTCGAGTCATGAAAACAACTATAGCCATAAAATCAATTCCGTCAAAACAACATGCGTATGTCTTCACACGTGAACGCATGGGATGGAACTATAGCCAAAAAATCAATTCCGTCAAAACAACATGCGTATGTCTTCACACGTGAACGCATGGGATGACGCAGCTGGCTGCCAGGAAAGCATGGGTGAAAGCTTTGGCTTTGCTCACTACTAGATTCTTAGGACAGGAATACCAAAACGCCTCTAGCCTTTTTTTTCATCTTCACCGCCTTTAATCTACCGCTGCGTCAGCCACGTGTCCTCGAAGCTTGTAGATCGCTATCGCATCACCGCGACAGTTGCAACACATGGTAGTTTTGTTTTCAATCCACGTGCCTTCAAGACTAAGTCATCTTATGCGCTCTATGATCACAACTGCCGGGATTTCGTCCAACAGAGTTTGCAGAAAGCAGCGTTGCTTTGAGTGGTCGAGCGTTGGCCGCGCGCACACTTTCGGAGTTCGGTCAGTAACGTTGTTGCCATACATGATCGTGTCAAATTACCGCAGTTTCATCTACAGCAGTTGTTGCAACGACAACCACACACACTGTAGAAGATAGTGCGTGCGCTGGTCGCACACGTACTTCCGAAGTTCAAGCACGCTGCTCTCGATCGGCCTTTATTCGACGGTTTCGGTATTATTGGCCCAATGAACACATGAATTTGGCTGGAAAATTTCACAAATTTGTATCTGCCATGGATTTGCATAACTGGCACTCTATTGTACGTTTAGATGAATGCCTCTTAATTTCGTTTATAAAAAAATGTGGTGAGCTCTCAAAAAGCCTGGAACGAACTGAGCTGCACTTTTTTCAATGTGGCCACGTCTCGCACACAAATTTAGATTTCCGGGAGATTTTTATGGCAACCGTACAAACGGAAAAAACCATTGAAATCCGAGAGCTTCTGGGACAATGCGGGAGACTTGGCTGGTATGTGATGATAACACCAATACACATTGTTCTCTCCTGGTGGCGGAATATAGCACAATGCGGTTTTTGTGGCCTCCGCGATTGGCTACGGCAATGCACCGTACCCAATCGCAGAGGCCACACTATTTTACTTATTTTATTTTTTATTATCAGAAACGATACATTCTTCATAAAATTTCAGGCAAGATTCGTAAAATCATGAGCACGGTCAAAATTTGTATATTTTACGAGAAAATCGAAAGAGTAGGCAGGTATGCCAATGGCCCAATTTGCACAATTTTTTGCACTTACATTTGACAGTTGTACGTTACTTTCTTTATTAAAAGCCTGCTACACTAGAAAGAAAAAGTCTTACCCTGTTACAACGGTTTGCTGGGATGTTTGGAAAAGAGTGTTTCCAAGAGCTTCAAGGCGCACCGACTGAATTCCACCACGTCCACAGTGGGGGCAGCTTTCCTTCGAATCTCCATTCTGCTGACACTGGCTGTGCCAGAGATGCCCTTCAGTGCACTGCACGAAATCGCCCTGCAAAGCAACAACACATCCAGTAAATACACACTCCTAGCACGGCTAGGCCAAAATAATTTACACACCTGACTCTCAAAGGACAGTAATACGTGAACATTAAAGGCTCGATAAAACATATCTATACAGCTTGGAATATCCTTTCTTTAATACCCAATAATATATTGTAGAAAAGGTAGCCTATATCTTGCATTCCTTGAATTACGCGGATAACAAGCACGAAAAGCTAACTGCAACCGAAGCGAGAATCGGGAGTGCTACCATGTTGCGGAAATCGTCACTATCTTTTCAAGGCGACAAGAGAGTTTTTCTTCTGGTTTTCCAGAAACCTGCGGCACGATGGCGACAAATAGCAAATCCTGTCGTGGTCACTCGAAAATTGTGTGCTTATGGTTGGGCCTTAAAGTTTCGAACTTGCAGGAAGTGACCATCGGTTGGCACATGCAGTTTCATGGCATTCACTCGCTGTGTTTGTCAGCTTCAATGTCGCTACACTCGCACCGTTCGTGAACCTTACTGTGGTGAATAGATAATTAAAAAAACACTGGGGACTTGCTGCGCACAGATAAAAAGAAAACCAATACGGCGCGCGGCAGCGAGCGAGGGGGTAAGAGGAAAAGCAAGCCTAGGTGGCCGAGGGTATTGGCATAATAATAAAAAACCGAAGAAATTCAACAGGCAAGGAGGTGCCTGATGTCGATTAGCGAGACTGCAGCAGATGCATATAGGGAGTGCGTTTATTACGAAGGGAAAAAAATCCAAATTTTGACAACTAAAGCTTATTATGCGAGTGCAAGTGCGTTCCTTACACGAGTAAATTTGATATTATATTTATATATATATGAGATCGAACAGACAGTAACGCCAAGGAATATATAGGGTAAGTTATTAGAACCAATGGAATGTAAATAAGAAGAAAGAAAAGTGGGTGAAAAAAATAACCAGCTGTGAGCAGGAACGCGTTATTTGAAGGCCGTAGGTTCAATTCCTGCTCACGGCTGGTTATTTTTCCCCCCACTTTTCTCTCTTATTTACATTCCATTGGTTCTAATAACTTCCCCTGTACATTCCTTGGCATTACTGTCTGTTAGATCTCATTAATATTGTGTCAAAACACGGAAAAACGAGCCCTTAGGTATACACTTCTTTCCCTTATATTTATTATATATATATATATATATATATATATATATATATATATATATATATATATATTAATGAAGGAGACACCGTCGCGATTGTGGGTCTCAATCTATCTCAGTCAAGCTGTTTCAGCCATACAAGACAGCGAGGTGTCCCTGTCAGCAACTCCTCACCCATGCATTAAGTGGGCGACTTCAGTGCTCATCATACAATTTGGGGAAGTTCGAAGACCAATGCTAAAGGAATAAAGTTGGTGTCCTTCGCCACCAACAACGAACCCTTCTTGCTAAACGGCGATATAGTGCAACGTTTTTGTGTGGTTCAAGGCATAGCAGCTGTCTTGACCTTACCTTTGTTTCACGAGGCCTCATGAGGCATGCTGGGTGGTTCCCAGACATAGAAACGCATGATGTAACCCCCTTCCCACTAACGTCAAAATTGTAGGATTGTCACATGCTAAAATAGACGATAGCGTTCTAAAGTGGACTGTTTGAAATTTCAGTCTCATACGAAGCAGCAATGTCAAGCGAACAGGTTCCTTGATATAGAAGAGATACTCAAAAGCACAATACACAATATTACGTGTAATCTCACATGTTCTTCTAAAATAACAGAATTTCGTATCGATTTAGAATGACTTCGAGCAATTTGACGGCGTGTTGAACGAAGATACCGACGCACGGCTGCAATGGAAGCCTTACGAATTGCTCGACGTATACAGAAGAAGATTCAGCGCCGGATAGATAATGTCGAGTCGCAACGTTGGACTGTATTCGGCGAGTCACTTGACCCTCGCAAATCTTCATCAAAATTGTGAAAGACGGTACGAGGTCTCCGCTCGAAACCCACTCAGTGGTCCTCTCGCCCTCTCTGAACGAAGGCGCGACATTGACGTGACAAAAGACTCTTGTGCCAGATAATCTGGGCGACTCACAGTGCCCAATAGCCTATTGCCCTCGAACAGCTTTCCACAAACACTGGATTCCAGCATAGATTTGCCTTTTGCCATTGTTGAACTCAGAGCAGCACCAGCTATGTGCCGATGCACGTCAGCACCACAGACCCGATATAATTTCCCATAGGGCCCATTGTCATCTGGTTGAAAGCGCGAGAATCCTGCTCCTGGAGTTTTACGAGAGTTTTATGACAAGCTGCAATACAAGTCACCTAGTTCCACTTTTGAAGCCAGACAAATCACCGTTGGAACTCTCACTCTACCGTGCAATCGCATTAGCCAGTTGTGTAGGCAAAGTTATAGAGAGGATAATCCTGACACGCCTGGAGTGGTACATGGAGTGCAAAAACACCAACCCAGATGCCATGGCAAGATTGCCGCGTGGTCGATCATCGATTTACAACGTAGTTGACCTAGTAACTTACGTCCAACACAAGTCTTAGATGTTAAAGGGGCTTATCTCAACGTTACGCATGAAGCAGTCCTCACCACTTTCGAAGATGTAGCATTAGGTGGCTCATATATCTCTGGACACTTAGTTATCTGTAAATGAGATTCTTTTTTGTGAGCACTGAATACGGTCCTCCACATTACAGCTACCGTGGCATCCCCCAGCGTGGCGTACTCATCCCTGCTGTCTTCAAACTTGCGCTAATTTCTCTAACTGACCATCTGCCCAGAACAGTCAAGCTATCAATGCACGCAGATATTATCTGCATTTGGACATCGGCTATAACACGCCTGCAGTTGCGAGTAAGAATTCAAAAAGCTGTCGTTGAAACTGCACATTACCTTCGAAATCGAGGCTTCGAAATTTTTCTGAGGAATGAACTCGCACGCAAGCTTATGAAAAGTACACCAAAAGCATCAATGGTCAAAATGTATCATACGTTCGATCGCACAAGTATCTAGGCGTCATAATTCACAGGAATCTATCATTGCACGATCACGTCTCGCACATGAAAAAAAAAAAACGGTTAGTAGACATCGGTAATATACTGAAGTTCTTTGCAGCCAAGACTTGGGGTATGTCACCCAGCGCAAAGCTACAGCTGCACAGGGTAATTTTTCTCGGCTTTCCGCGGTACAACTTACCGGCGTTGACCAATGGAAGCAAAACAAGCCTACAAACGTTACGAAGTATTTAGGCTCAGGCACTCCGGATTTGCCTAGGCTTGCCTCGTAGTGCGGCGAAAAAGGCTTGTATAAAAACCGCCGGTGACCACCTCATCGCAACACATAGTGACGTTGGGACACTCGGGACACATATAAGGCATATATATTTGTGTCCTCAGACACCCTGCCACCACCTAGCCTCCTTACCAACAGACACACCGCGTGTGTTCTTTTGTCAAATGGTGACCACGTTTCGCGACTTCTTGCCAACATGCAATCACATCCGCCGCCAGGCTTTCGACTCCTGCTTGGTGCCTGACTCAGGCTAATGTCAGGCTAACAATACCTGGCATTCAGAAAAAAGCATGTATGTCATCAGGTGCTCTTAAGCAGCTTGCTCTGCTCTTGTTATACGATACGCACCAAGGCTGTATACACGTATACAGCGACGGCTCCGTTTTACAGAACAGTTCAATGACATCTGTTGTTATAGCTATAAAAGCCAAAACAAGCAAATTCAAGACCAGCTGTTCGTGCCGCATTGCAATTCATTAGTGATCGACACCCACAAAAATGGACAATTTTCAGTGACTCCAAGGCGGCACTGCACTCCCTTTTATCATCTTTACGCCGCGGCCCTCACAAACAACTGGTGTTCGAGATTGCAAAAGAGACTCATCATTTAACTGGGGAAAGAGACGAAATAGCCGCTCAATTGCTTTTTAGTAACTGTGGCACAATTTGCAATCAACGGGCCGATCGAGCTGCCCGCTGTGCTCATACTGAAAGCAATCATATATCTAGTGCGCTCTCCAGAACTGACGCTGCACGGAAACTCTGCATAATTGCTTGCGAGCGGACCACGCCGCTATAGAACAAGCCACATTCCACGTGCGCATTATTATATACCTTAGACCGAACTCTCGGTCTTCAAGTTCCTCCAGAACTTCGCCGACGAGATGCTAGTATGCTGTGCAGGTTACCGAAAAAGAGTGTCTAGCCATCATATGGGCCATAGGCAAGTTTCGACCCTATCTTTACGGGCGCCCATTCAGCGTGGTTACAGAACATCATGCATTATATTGGCTCTCCTCGTTAAAAGATCCCACCAGCCGGCTCGCCCGTTGGGCGCTTCGGCTAGAAGAGTACGATATTCACGTCGTTTACCGATCTGACCGAAAACATTCCGACGCAGATGCTTTGTCCCGATCACCTCTACGATGTAGTGACAAGTTGCCGTCTTCGCCTGCCCCCAACGTATCTGCACTTATTGCCAGCGACATGCTACAGGAGCAACGAAAAGATCCTTGGATCGCTTCACTTATTAACTTGTGTTGAACTCCCTCGCAAAATATCCCTAGAGGTATGCGCCGTCAAATACAGCACTTCATTATCAGAGATGGTTTGCTATACAGACGGAATTATCTCTCCGAAGGGCGCCAATGGCTCCTAGTCATTCCCAGACGTCTCCACTCAGACATATGCGCCTCCTTTCACGCCGACCCACAATGCGCCCATGCTGGAGCGTTAAAAACCTACACCCGCCTGTCCCACCGCTACTACTGGCATGGAATGTATCGCTTTGTTCGTCGCTACGTACGTTCCTGTCTCGCTTGCCAGCGCCGGAAGAATCCCACTCCAAGTTCTCCAGCTCCACTACAACCCATACCTTGTCCTGCATGACCGTTTGACCGTGTTGGTATCGATCTGTATGGACCTCTTCCGATTACACGGCTGGAAATCGCTGAGTAATCGTCGCTATCGATCACCTTACGCGCTACGCAGA